TCTCTATGGAGTTTCTTCAAAAAAATTTAATATAGGGGTGCCTGGGTGGCTCAGTCAATTAAGCGTCTGACTCTTTGTTTGAGCTCATGTCATCATCTCACAGTTTGCGAATTTGAGCCCGACATTGGGCTCTGTACTGACGGTGCAGAGTCTGCTTCGGATTTTCTGTCTCTCTTTCTCTTTGCCGCTCTCCTACTCTCTCTCTCTCTCTTAAAATAAACAAACTTAAAAAAATTAAATTTATAACTACTGTTCCTCTTCTGGATATATATGAAAAGGAAATGGAGTCATTGTTTAGGAAAGATATCTCCACTCTCATGTTCAATTGCAGCAATATTCACAGTAGCCAAGACATAGAAACAATCTAAGTGTCCAATGACATTAGCAAGTCTCCATTAATAAAGCAAATGTGTTAAATGTGAAGACAATGGAATATCATTTCATCATAAGAAGGAAATTCTACCATTTGTAACAACATGGATGAATCATGAATTTGTTATACTAAGTGAAATAAGTCAGACAGAGAAAGAAAAATACTGGATGATCCCACATGTGGAATCTAAAGAAATGAACATACAGATAAAGAGGACAGATTTTGGTGGTGGTTCCCAGAGGTGATGGGTAAGGGAAATGGTGTAAGGTGGTCAAAAGGTACAAACTTAAAGTTATAGGAAGAATAAGTTTTGGGGATGTGCTGTACAGTATGGTGGCTATAGTTGATGTATTATATCTGTAAAGGTTGCTAAGAGAGTAGTTTTAAGCATATGAAAAAAATGTATCATCATTTATGATATGATAATTATAATTAAAATCATTTATCATCACAAAAAACTTACTATATGAAGTGATGGATATTAACTAAACTTATTGTGGTAATCATTTCACAATATATACATGAATCAGATTCTTACTCTGTATACCTTAAACTTACAATGTTACATGTCAGTTATATCTCAGTAAAGCTTGAAAAAAGAATCCAGTGAGGAAGATAATAATAGCATCCTAATTGTACAGATGGGGAAACTGAGGAGCTGAGAGATTACATGGCTGTTCAAAGCTACATGAGTGTTGAAGCTGTGTTTGGAATCCACATCTCAGTAAGACTCAGCAAGTTCTTAACAACTATTATTCTCTCTTGTTCTGCTGGCCATATGGACAAGGTGAAGGTGGCTTTAAATATTTCAAACAATTAGGTGTTTGGTCTAAAACTTAATTGTGCTATTTAATAACACTTTTTCAGAGTGGTAAAAGAGAGAGGAATGTTGGTGCTCAAGTAAGCTTGTGTGATAAGTACCTGTAAGAGGGGATTGGATCAGATTTATACAAAAATCTCATAACATAGTTTCTCTCAAATATTCCTACTAAAATATCCCTATAGGAGAAGAAAGTAAAACCTCACCCCCCACAACACTAATGCAGATTTGGTGTCTTGCTCCCCTACCTAATATGTTTGTTTTTATGTAAGAATAAACCAGGTGACCTAACATGACAAAAGTAGATGGTGCAGAAAGATGTGACAGGTTTATTCTCTGTGTTCTACACCTGGCATATTAGCTGATGAACATGGGTGTTAGGTGTGGCAGTGGGAGGCTAGCTGCTGTTTCCACTACTAGATCATTGAAGGGTCAGTGCAGAACTTTTTCCTTATTGGAACTTCTTGATTTCCAAGATCATGGAAAAAGTGTGACTGGTAAACGGGAAAATTTTATGGAATGTTATAGTAGTAACCTTAAAATATAACTTTTAGAGACTACTTCTTCCAAATAAATTATTCAAAACTTTAAAAAGAGAACATTAATGGGGCGCCTGGGTGGCTCAGTCAGTTAAACGTCTGACTTCCGCTCAGGTCATGATCTCACGGTTCGTGGGTTCGAGCCCCACATCGGATTCTGTGCTGACAGCTAGCTGAGAGTCTGGAGCCTGTTTCAGATTCTGTGTCTCCCTCTCTCTCTGACTCTCCCCTGTTCATGTTGTCTCTCTCTCTCAGAAATAAATAAAACATTAAAAAAAATTTTTTTAAAAGAGAACATCAAGAAAGCAAATACTAGAGTAGAAAAAATGATTCTGAAAGGTATATTTTAAAGAACTTATTTGCAAAAACTTTAACACATACTATGTTTTTTCTTTTCTTTGTGACTCTTGAAAAACTCAAATCATCTTAAGTTGAATTTTTTACTTAAATGTTATCTTTTCTGCCAGATTTTTTTCTGCATTTTTTTCTTCTTTTAAATTTCTGAGAGAGAGCGAGAGAGAGAGAGAGCAAGCAGGGGAGTGTCAGAGAGAGAGGGAGACACAGAATCTGAAACAGGCTCCAGGCTCTGAGCTAGCTGTCAGCACAGAGCCTGATGTGGGGCTCAAACCCATGAATTGTGAGATCATGACCTGAGCCGAAGTCAGACGCTTAACCGACGGAGCCACCCAGGCAACCCTTTTCTATCAGACTTTTTGTTGTGTTTTATGCAGGCAACTCCAACGCATTTTTTTAACTAATTATGAAAGATAGTAGCACTTCTTCAGCCAGCATAGTTCTGAGTTTTTAAAAATATCATTTTGTATCTACAAGTATTCTGATTTTACTGACTTGTTAAATAACATACTTTTCATACACTGTGGAGTGAGGGTGAATACGAACTCTGTACTCCTGCAGATATTTTGAGGTAAAATTCATTTTGAGGCACATGCTTTGAACATAATGTGTGCTGTATACGAGGTGTTTTTCAGTGATGTCAAATATAATTCTGATAGCCTGTTGTAAATACAAATTCTAAACCAATGCAAAGTTTTTAATATACTGTAAATTATCTTCCTCCAGTGGTTTTCCAATTTAAATTAACTTATGACCAGTCACCACATTGTTCAGGTCCTGATTACAAATCCATATCAAAAGAAAATTAAATAGACTCCTCTTTCTTCATTGATTGTAATTTAAAACTCAATTCATTTAGGATGCACAAAGTTACAGATTTGAAAAGTTTGCTAAATCCACTTGAATTGTAATATTAAAATATTTCCATGGGTTGTGTGTTTGGGGACCACTCTGCCATGCTTTACTGTCTGTGGTGTAAGACTCAGGACTTCTTATTGTGTAGATATAGCCATTACCCTAGTGTGGTATTTTCCTCCATTCACTAAAGTCCGCATTTTTTTCATTGGGTTGTTTACTTGGTATAATGTTTTATTTTCTACTTATGTATAAAAAGTATTAACCATAAACAGAGGGCTGCATCAAATGACCATATAGGGCAAAATTATTCCTTTTATTCTCATTGGTTTTATAGGGAATAGTAGTATTTCTGTTGTTTCCTTTGGCATGTACTTTCTTAATATTGTCAACGTTTTTAAAAATTCAAGTGCAGATATTTAAGCAGAACATCCTTCCTTTTTTACAGGTGATTCCTTATAACCTAATGGCTCTTTCCAGGCTGGCTGATTTATTTCCTTCTGATGAGCACATACACCATGGTGGCATCGATAAAGTCTTATTTACTTTAAAAATATTCTTTTGAAACAGTTCCATGAGGTTAAAATGGTTCATTGTTAGTTAATGAGTACTGGTGATCCTTTTATCAGATTGGTCATGAGCTTGACCTGTTTGCATGTAATGAAGCACAGAGTTAGATCAGTAACATTTCCAGTGGCGTTCTCTTTATTTTGGTAGTGGAGGTGTTAAACAGCACCTCTGCTTCTTTCTGCTTTACTCATATGCATCCCCTTGTTTTTCTGGTGACTTCTGTCTTCCTTTAGGGTTTTCTCTCTAGGATTCTCCTCTGTCTTTTCCATGTGTGCCTTTCCCTTTTTGCTTTCCCACTGTCTTTGGCATGGTCGTGTTTCCCTCTGACTGAGGAAGGTGAAGAGTGGGGCATCATGCATGCTCATTTTCTTCTAGCTGAGCATAGCTGAATTAATGAGAGTGTGCCTCAGACAGAACTGCAGGAATGGAGTCAGTGGTGGAGAAAAATGACTGTGATTTGGTCCATGGTATACTGTTAGTGAAAGGTTTGCTTACATGTTAAGCTTCCTCATTTCAGGGACTCCTCAAAACATTGCTGTCACACAGGCCGGTGGGGCAGGTGTCCAAGCATTTGACTGGTGCTGGCCAGGAAGTTGGGTCAGGAAATTGATAGCAGCTAATTTTTTTTTAGCTTTTATTTAAATTCTATTTAGTTAATGTACAGTGTAATATTAGCTTCAGGTGTGCAGTATAGTGATCTGACACTTCACCCAGTGCTCATCACAAGAAGTGCGCTCCTTAATCCCCATCATCTATTTCATGCATGCCCCTACCAACCTCTCCTTGGTAATCATCAGTTTGTTCTCCATAGTTAAGAGTTTGTTTCTTGGTTTGTCTCTCTCTCTCTCTCTCATTTCCCCCCCTTGCATTTGTTTTCTTAGTTTCCACATATGAGTAAAATTTTCCCAAAGAACACAAAATTACCAATTTAAAGGGATTCATGTACCCCTATGTTTATAGTAGCATTATCTACACTGGCAGTTAACTATTTTAAATTAATGAAAAGAAACACAGAAAGGTGGGAAACTGCTGCATTTCTGTTCTTTGCCACGCATTTGGACAATTGCATCTGGAATGATAATTTCTAGGAGCCTTTTTTAAAATGAGAGGTTTCTTTATGACAATGCTTATTTACCTTTCCTAACCATCTTTATTACTTTGTACATTTATCAGTTATAAGGCAGATTGAATTAAAATTTGTTCACTGAAATTTGTAAGGCTTAGTAATTTTATATATTATGAAAACAATTCCTGGGAGCTCTTTTTGTGAAGCAGGGCAACCTTTAGTAATATAAATATGTATTTCTTAGTTTTTAAGAATTCTGACTCTAATTTTTAGAACCAGGTTTTTTTTTTTTTTTTGATGGTGGAGTTGGTCTCTATTTGCATAAGGCTGTCATTCAGTGAGAATACTAGAACATAGCTTTATAAAACCTATCTGAAATTTTAACATAATTGACACATTACACTTATATTTGTTTCCATTTAGGTTTTTTCCCAAGCAGTTCTCAAGGGTGTGATGCATTTCTTCGCCACAAGATGACACTGATCTCTCCCTCAGTACTGAAGAAGTATGGCATACCCTTTGACAAGGTATATTAGTAGTATTCTTTAACATTAATTTTGTGTGTGTAGTATTTATATTTAAGACAAATGTAACACAAGCTAATATATCCTCAACTTCAAATAGGAATTTTAGGATGTGGGTAGAAAAATTCAGATTCTTGTTTTATAATGTAACAGTTATTTGTCTAATTACTAAATTGAAATTACTTTTATTTCAGGCTACATTAACTAGATATTTCTTGCTGGTTATAGTTTACTTATAACAATACTGAAAATAAAATGCAGAACATCTGACAAATAAGATGTAGCACTTGTACACTCAAGTCTTTTATGTGAATAACATAATTTATGCATATGTGATCTATTTTTTAAAAAGAATATGGAATGATTACTGTTAGCAGTTTGGTTGGTTAGAGTCAGTGATTATGATATCAGTATGTTGCTTCTAAACACATTCAGACATAATACAGTAGAAATTTCATTATGGATAAAATTGCCTGATGATTTAAGAATCAGATATTGCTTCTTTGGAATATTTCTAAAGATTAAGTTCTGTAAGACTCAGTACATGCTAGATTCCTCTATTTCTGTGTCCATGGGCAGTTATTGAGTCAGAATTATTATGCATGAGAACTTTTATGTGAAGAAGCCAAAAGGAAAAAAACAAAAACAAAAAATTAATTATTTTAAATGTTTATTTACTTTTGAGGGGCTGGGGGGAGAGGCGAAGAGAGAGAGAGGGAGAAACAGAACTCAAAGTGGGCTCCAGGCTCCATGCTGTTAGCACAGAGCTGGACATGAGGCTCAAACTCACGCACCGCGAGATCATGACCTGAACTGAAGTCAGATGCTTAACCAAATGAACCACCCAGGTGCCCCAAAAAACAAAAAATACTTTTGACCAGATAAGTAAAAGCTCCCTCTCAGAGGAGGATTTAGTAATTAGCTCCTTGTAGAAATATTAATAAATAGCTATGCCCTCTTCATCTTTTTTCTTCATTTTTAATTTGACTTTTCTTCCTGTAATCTTTGCTGTTTTTCACCTCAGATTTTCAATTGTGACTAAATCTTTACCTCTTCTTAATCTCAGGCCCTTAAAGTGCATTCCACCTCCCACCCCCAGCTTTGTTCAAAGTGGGAGTTTTGCAAGGACCAGGAATCATTCTCCAGCTTAAGGGGGTCCATGCTCATTCACAAACCATCTATGCTGTATTCACGCATAAGATGAGACATATCTGTCTTGTGTGACAGGGATGCTCTCACTAATGTTTTACTCACATAGTCTTACCCATGATGAAAAGCATTCCTCTGAGATGGGCACTGTGGAAGGTGTGCATGGATGTGGAGAGAGGCTGGTGATGGACTGCAGTATTGTCACTGTGCCCAGTGTTACAGAGGGCAGGGGGTGTGTCCCTGAGATGGGCCACTGCCACTATGGCACTGTCTTTCTTGCAGGTACCTCTGGGCACTGGGTTTTTCAGTCTCAGACACATCATCAGCGAGGGATTTTTTAGGTGGTTGACATTAGCTTGATTAGACACTTTAAGTTAGAGTTTTAGAAGACAGAGGAGAATGAGTGGACTAGGGTCTTGCTGAAGGACAGAAAATCCTTTATGATTTTAAGGCTTATGATAGATATTTGACCAAGCTGGTCATTGGAGAGGGGATTATTTTAAGTAGCAGGACTGTGGGGTTTTTTTATTTCCCCAGGATGGAGGTCTTGGAGCTTCTGGCTCCTTTCCAAGTTTTGGGGAGCAGAAGGCAGGTGCCCCCTGCATCTATCTCTGGGCTGTGGCTCCTCAATACTACTTGGTAAATCACCAGATGTTCCAGGCTCTCCTCTGGTCTCTTGAGGATGGACTATTTTGTGGCTTCTGAAGACTCCAGTGCCTCACCATCTGACTGGCAATTGCAGTTTTTCATATGAAGTACTGTCACTTCCTCTTCTATGTTGAAGAAAGATGTGTGATAACTCTGCTCCTCAAGGAGCATATTCTCTGATAATGATAGTGTAACATGGGACAGAGTATTGTAGGCTTCCGATTAAACTTCTCAGATTTATTCCTGATTCTGTCACTTGGGAAAATTACATAATTTTTCTAAGCCTCAGTTTCTTTAGCTGGAAAATGATGATAACAATAGTACCTACTCAATAGGCCTGTTAGGAGGATGAAAAGAGATGATCTATATAAAGGGCTTTGCATAGTACATGTTATACAGACACATTCTTTTTCCTCAGTTCGACCCTCTTTTTAAGCAATCATTTCATAGTTGGAATAACATTATTTTCCTCCTTTCAGTGTATTTTATGTAATCATATAGGTATGTGCATGTATATTCAACAAACATAATGTCTGCTTTTAGATCATGTGCACTTTTCAACTTTTATTATATGGAATTGTGATGATTGTTTAGTTTTATAATAAAAGGGACTTGTTCTTTTTTGTCACTCTATTTTCTGACCTGTATATTACACAAAGGCAGTAACTTAGCCTTATATTTTGGCTAACTGGTACTGATCTGTTTCTAGAAATTATACAGAAGCATAAAATTGAGAGTCCCATTCAGTGGAACATATGCTCGTTTTCAACATGGCAAGAGCAAGAGTTTCTAGGTAGAGTAGAAAAAGACTGTGGATGGGAGGCAGTGGAGCAGTGAAGATAGTCTCCTTATTCCAAAGGCAGCAGCCCTACTCTCTTCCCCATCTGTGTAGGGTCATAAACAGTTGATGAGGGTGAGTTTTATTTTATCACATAGTACAGGGAAGTGCCTAGTTTCCAAGGACAATTATAATTAATGAAATTCAGTGAGACCAGGAAAGGAGAGAACCAGGCTGTGTTCTCATGTGGCTCAGAATGATGGAACCGGAACCATGTTGAACACTGATAGCCATTCTCTGCCTGCCAGGTGGCAGCTGAGTTGCTGCTCATTGCCATAGAACACCTGCTGGGCTGTCATGGGGGAGAAGGTGATAAGATCCATTTCAGGATTGCTGGGAAAGAAAATACACACACAACATTTTAGCATCCCTGAAATGGCAACTGAGTTGCATTGTGTACACCTGTATTTATACAGTGTGTCTCCTGAATGTTTACATACATGTACCTGCCCACATATTCATTTCTCAACATTTTAGGACTGAAAATGAACCATGGGTAATAAATTTGATAATCCGTCATAGTGTAGGTAAATTTAAAAAAAAAGCACCAAAAATTTTTTGCGTTACTATTTTTCTATAGCTCATGGTATATTTTGTGTGTTTTGGTGATTATGAAAGGCCGTAAGTCTTCAATAAATAAGAATGGAATAACTATATTTTTCATGTTTGTCTTTAAGCTCTGACTGGTTTATTCAAGTTACTTACACATACATATTTGAATAATTCTTTTGATAAAAATTTTATTACTAAATGGAACACAGTTAATTAAATGTTTTCTGAGTATTATGAAAGAATAATTTGGTGAATACCACAACTCTTTAGCAACAGAATTAATTGTAAAGCCTGTTGAGCATGCATTATTAAAGTTCTTTTTAGCTCTAACAAACATCAGTCAAAATATGTCCTGTGAAATAACTCCAGTAACATTATTTTTTTAAAGAATTAAAAATATACACATTGATTACTAACATGAACAAATTAACTTGCATAACTTAAAGATATCTTAAAATAAAATATCTTTGATTATGGTTTGAATGATTGAACTACATTGCCAGAAGATCACACCCTGTTTATAAAAGTCTTTAAAGTTTCCTGAAAAACTGTTAAAGGATTGAATAAAGATCTGGAGGAATTTCTTTTATACTGGATAGCTCTGATATGATGGCATTTTTTTCTTTTTTTTTTAAATAGGAAATATATTTTAATTGTCTTTGCAATTTGGAAAGTCTGATAATTGGAAAATATTATATGTTTTCTACCCTGCAGATCACTCAGGAGGCTGGAGAATTTATGATCACTTTTCCATATGGCTACCATGCTGGTTTTAATCATGGTTTCAACTGTGCAGAATCTACAAATTTTGCTACAGTCAGATGGATTGACTATGGGAAGGTTGCTAAATTGGTAAGTTATGCCTCAAAAACAAGGCATAAATTAAATATGTATTCTGGTTATTGTAGTGGGAAATCTAAGATCATGTGCAGCACTTCCCCCCCCCCCCCATTGTTACTGTGTGTGGCTCACCATGGTAATTTTTTTTCAGACTAGGTATATTTGTTTTACATGGTTGTTATCATTTGTAGCTACAGTTTTCTGTTTTGAGATTAATGTGGAGCAGTTTACTTTGAGAGGTAATTTATGCAGCTGATGTTTGCTTCCTTTCTTAAGCCACCAATTATGTTTTTGTGAAATTTCCCAGTGGCTCCCTGTGGCTCCATTTTAGGTAAAGACTTGGCTCTCTCCATACTGAATTTAGTCTATGGCTTAGAAAACAACTACTTATAGATGAAAGTGTCTGTAAAAATTGTAGTAAGAGGTTAAGGGAGGATGGTAAGAAGAAATGATTAAAACTGCCCTTATTGCAGAAATAAATTTCTTGAAAGTAATGCAGAACACACTTTAACAAGAAATGTATCTTTATGTTGACTTTGGTACAAAATTTTTCATCTTCTGCTCAGTATATTTAATTTAGTTCACATACTGTGTATTTTCATTCACAAGAAACAACTTCCATTAAATTTAATTAGTTTCCCCCCGTGGTGTTAAATAGAAGACATCTTCAAAGAGATGGTAGCTTACATTAAGTTGCTTTGTTTCCTATGGCTTTGAAGGCAAGGATACAGGCGGCAGAGGGCAGCTATGAATGAAACGATGTATTTTACAGAGTATGTAAAATTGACACAGATTTAGTGGAAAATGACAAATAACAACTTATGTGGCTATATCTTGGCCACTGCATGGTATAAGCGAGTGTTATTCATTCTGCATTGATAAAACTTGTATGTGGAACCATTGTGAACTTAGACATATATTCAGGAAAGAGAACACTAGGTTTAATTTACATGTGTATTCAGAGAATTACATAATGTATTAAAATAAAAATACAGCCTTTTCATAGCCTAGGAACCATTTGTATGGATTTATGAAAAAAGGGAAGGCTCCTGCTATTAGAAGACTTTTTCTATTCTGAGTAATTTCTATTTATGAGGGGTAATTTAGAAACGAACAGAACTGAACTACTTCTTTCCATTATGCATTCTTAATATTATAGTAAACCTAGTAAAAAATAGAAAACTCAGTGCATTTACCTTAGCTAGCTACTTACAGTGCTGTCACAGAGAGGTAATGCTTGGATCTACATTGAAACAGAGCCATAGACCCATAGTAATAGCAAGGTATGTTATGGTTTGCATTCTTCTTTTTAATTAAAAAATGTTTTTTAATGTTTGTTCATTTTTGAGAGACAGAAACAGAGATGCAAACAGGGCAGGAGGCATACAATCTGAAGCAGTTTCCAGGCTCTGGAGCTGTCAGTACAGAGCCCGACATGGGGCTTGAACCCATGAATTGTGAGATCATGGCCTGAGCCAAAGTCAGGTAACCGACTGAGCCACCCAGATCCTCCTTTAGTCTGTAGGTTTAATCATTGACATAGCAAGTCAGCTATCACAGCTATTCAGTTACCAGAAAATGAGTTGGTGCTTGTTTACTACAAGTTTCAGATCTAGTTCATGATATTGGCCAGATTAGCTTCTCCCCAGGGATAAAATGTCCTGGGTGGGTTTCCACATTTCTTTGTTAATGTAGAAAGGGACTGGAGTGTGACCAAGTAAGAGAGGTGAGTAGTGGGTCTCTGAAATCCCAGCTGACAGAGCCTAGAATTGTTGGACTGTAAGAATTAGTGCACTGTGGTGGAGGAAGCAGGGATCTAAGACCTGACTTTTCTTCTAGCTAGTCATATATCACTAGGAAAGTTATTTATTTCTACCCATAGGTTTTTTATGAGAGGGAAAAAACCTTAGGTATGTGGATATCCACTCATGCTGCATTGATTTGTTTCATTCAGTTTAGTTAAGGAATGCGACTGTCTTGGTTCTGGCATTTTGGTAGGTACAAAATTGTTCAATGGCTATAGTGCAGTTTTGGGTAAATAGTGCATTAGATTGCATGTGTTTGAGATGTTTTTGGGTGTTGCCTCCACCCTTCCCTTATTATGGTGAAGTGCTGCTGCTCTGAGAAATGTATTTGTTTTCAATTGCTGTTAGAGCAAATTGCCAAAAAAGTAGTGGTTTAAAACAATACCCACTTACCATCTCATGGTTCTGTAGGTTGTAAGTATACTACTAGTCTCACTAAGCAAAAATCAAGGTGTTTGCAGAGCTGCATTTCTTACTGGGGATTCTAGTGAAGAATCCATTCCCTTGCTTAATCAGGTTGTTGGCTGAATTTGGTTCCTTACAGTTGTAGGACTGAGTTTCCATTGTTTTTTTGCTGCCTATCACCCAGGTTTTTGCTCCTAGAGGCATCTCTCAGGTTTTTCCAGGTGGTCTGCTACATTTCATATCAAGCAGTCTCCCAGATGCCTTTTGTCATATAAGATGACATATTTACAAATTATAGGGAATAGAATGTGGATATCTTTGTTTTCAGGGGTAGGAGTGGGAAGGTGGGGGCAATATTCTGTCTACCCCAGAGAGTTCCAATTAATAATTGACATTGTGATATATTAAGAATCTACTTTGAGTAGGTGAAACTAATTTTAGTTATTCTTCATAAAAACTGGAAACTAGGGGTACCTGGGTGGCTAAGTTGGTTGAGCGTCGACCTTGATTTTGGCTCAGGTCATGACCTCATGGTTCATGAGATTGAGCCCTATGTCTGGCTCTGTGCTGACAAGCATGGAGCCTGCTTGGGATTCTGTTTCTCCATCTCTCTCTGGTTCTCCCTCTCTCAAAATAAATAAATAAAATGACCTTAAAAATAAAACAGGGGCGCCTGGGTGGGTCAGTCGGTTGGGCGTCCGACTTCGGCTCAGGTCATGATCTCATGGTTTGTGGGTTCGAGCCCTGCGTTGGGCTCTGTGCTGACAGCTAGCTCAGAGCCTGGAGCCTGTTTCAGATTCTGTGTCTCCCTCTGTATCTGACCCCTCCCCTGCTCATGCTGTCTCTATCTCTGTCTCAGAAATAAATAAAACATTTTAAAAAATAATAAATAAATAAAATGAAGTGAAAAACAAAGAAGGTTATTTAAACAACAACAAAACTGGAAACTAAATTTGTAATGGATATACTTTTGAATGTTTCACTAAAACATACTTATGCTTTCTTAAATTATATCCTTCAATTTTAATATTTTCTTGGCTCTTCTCAGTAAATAAGTTATCTTATTTTGTATGGTGCTATGGTGGCATTTTTATACATATCTTGGTGTCTTTATAATTTATTTGACACATTTTTATTGATCTCCAAGGCTATTTCTTTTTTTTTTTTTTTTTTACAAATAGTTTATTGTCAAATTAGTTTCTACATAACACTCAGTGCTCATCCCCAAAGTGCCCTCCTCCATGCCCATCCCCCCTCCCCCCTACATCCATCAGTCCTCAGTTTTTGTCAGCATTCAAGAGTCTCTCATGGTTTGTCCAAGGCTATTTCTTTACACAGCCTTGGATCATGTGTAAGTGCGTGCATGTGTCCTTGCATGCGTGTGTAGTTTTTTGTCTTGGGAAGATTTGTGAATTGGGAAGTTAGTTTTTATGTTTTTTTTTTTTTCAGGACAAATGTATAATGAATTAATTATAAACTGCACTTAAAAGATTTCTGGTTTTGAGGGTGCCCCAAATTCTTAAACAAATTTTGGCTTTAATTCTTTGCTGTATCCAGTTTATTCTAAATAATAGCTCTTAGGGAATAGTTATTCACAAGTGATGATGACTTAAGGTTTTTGGGGGACAGATAATTAAAAAACAATGGCATGCTCTTTCCCAGTGGAAACACCAGGGGGAATGAGGTCTCCTTTGCCTGTCACATAGGGCTTATATGGGTATGTAAAAGCTTCCAATACAGTGTCTCTTTGTGGGTCAGAATAAATGTGGTGCAAAATGTGGGGTCTCTACTGGTTATATTTTACATCTTATAAACGAATATTTCTAATTTGACAATTTAGGAAAGAACTTTACAAAAACCTATTTTTTTAATTGAAAAATACAGCAAAATACTCGGTTTTGAAAAGTTAACCGCAGGTTCACTGATAATATTGGAGATATTGGTGATTTTATTCAGAAAAATGCTGCACGATTCTCTAGAACAGAAGGGCCTTGCATTTAAAAGAAATCACCTAACAAGGGGGTTATGTAATTTTTTCCCCATTTCATTGTTCAGAGGTAAGGTTTTCACTGAAGAAAAATTGAGAGGATTGTTCTAGGTTGCTACGTGCCCATTTGCCTACTGGCTTAGGCAGAGTTCAGCTTCAGAGAGTGCTTAGTGAGTTCCTCCTTTGCAACAGGATTGTGCTGTCTTTGTCTTTAAGGACCTTTCATAAAGAGCAGAAGGGCTTTTAATAAACCTCCATTTTCAAAACTGAAGTATGAGTGACATACAATCTAGTTATTTATTTTAGGCATCTTTATAGGTTTGAACATCAGAGTGATCTAGTGTAAAATGCTACGTTTTTTTCCGGTAGAGATTTAAAACTGTGTAACACTTTAGCAATTGATAAAAATTGGTGCATATTTGAGATGAATGTTTCCCATTACTGGATCATTCTCTCCTGTGGTGAAATAGAGTCCGTGATTACTTCTGTGCAGCAGCTGTGGTGGCACTCGCAGGTCCGCTTCCTGGCTAGGCTAGATCAAAGAGCTGGCCTACAGGTTGTATTTCATTTTTCCCTTTGGTAGGATGAAGTGCAGTTGTTTTGATGTTAGGTTTGATGGATTTGTTTGCCACTGCATTCATTAGCTTCACATCAAAAAACTGACAGGCTGTTAAATGAAACTTTGGCTTAGATTTTCAGCTTGACTGTTTGGAGACATTTGTGAAGATATTTTGTTTTTGTGTCGTAGCAGCCTCAAGCACTGTGATTGTCTTGAAGGGAAGAAAAGTTATTTACTGTACTGATTTTCTTGAGTA